AAGCCCTCCATCATGGTCGTCCCGGCACTAACAAAGAACACTGACCCAAAAATGGCGCTTGTTCATGCCCGTCCTGGAGAAAGTTGTTGTCGACCCGCGGTTGTCATCCTGCTCCCTGAACCCACATCTACCCCCACTGTCACCCACCCTCAACCCACGTCTACCCCCACTGTCACTCACCCTCAACCCACATCTACCCCCCCCCCCCTCTGTCACCCATACCTCGACACTTCCAACCCCATAGCCTACTGAGACTGTCACATCTCAAGCACAGTGTAAGATGTAAATCACCCGGATATTTTTCAGCACTGAGCGAATTACCAATAATTGCTATCTATCCATCAACAGTTGACCAGCGAGAGAATGTCAGGTTGCAGCTCAAGAGGCTAGAGGCTCTCTAGCCTCTTGAGTTGGTAGCTAGGCTAGAGAGCCGCTTTCTTGAGCCCGTCCACCGCCCTCACCCCCTTAGGGCTTTTAAGGGCTCTCACTATTGTATTATATATCACTATCTCACTATTAAGGGTTGTATTCTTGTATTTACCAGGCGGAAAACTTAATCAAGTTGCATTTGGAAAAAATAATCTATGTAAATATTATAGGATAGAAATGTGTTTGTGTAAGCTGGTGGAATTTGGACTAATGTAATTGAAATAAGTCAAGTTACAACAAAAATGTAACAAAAATAATTGTGTTCTGCGGTCATTCACACTCACTGTTCTTACCTGCTGACATTCACACTCACTGTTCTCACCTGCTGACATTCACACTCACTGTTCTTACCTGCTGACATTCACACTCACTGTTCTCACCTGCTAACATTCACACTCACTGTTCTCACCTGCTGACATTCACACTCACTGTTCTCACCTGCTGACATTCACACTCACTGTTCTTACCTGCTGACATTCACACTCACTGTTCTCACCTGCTAACATTCACACTCACTGTTCTCACCTGCTGACATTCACACTCACTGTTCTCACCTGCTGACATTCACACTCACTGTTCTCACCTGCTGACATTCACACTCACTGTTCTCACCTGCTGACATTCACACTCACTGTTCTCACCTGCTGACATTCACACTCACTGTTCTCACCTGCTGACATTCACACTCACTGTTCTCACCTGCTGACATTCACACTCACTGTTCTTATCTGTTGACATTTACAGGGAAGTGACAATTGGTTAAATAAATGGAAAACTGCCAGTGGAAATATATTTAAAAAAAGTAACATTAAAAAGAATGTTTGAATTACTGAATATCATTTTTATAAGACTTTAGTGTTTACCCAAACTTGTTCTTCCGTAATATTTAGTAATTGTTTGCATGTAGTAATAATAATAATAATTAATAATAATAATAATATTATTATTTTTATTATTATCTGATTGTCTCAATAAACGTATCTCAACTTGAATGAGAATAAAGTAACTCTTAAATTTATGTTTAATTTAGGCCATCAAACATAATTTACAGAATGTAGCCATTGTGAACCTACATTATTAGTGGAAGTTATTGGGTTTTGAAATTCATCATAAAAACATTAATGAGTATTTAAGAGAGTTAATCTTACATTAGATAGATACCTTGAAGGATATACAGACGATGAGATGAATGAACATGACGTCATTAAGTTTAGAAAAGGATTAGGATGGTGGGTCACGTGATTATAACTTGTAGTGGCTAAATCTAGTTATTATAATAAATACACGTTCCATACAAGGTACAGCGTTTGCCACTCTGCACCAAAATTATAACTATTCTGAGCATTTGTCGTAAATCATATAACCAGCCGTGTCCCCCATGCATTCTTATTACAAAAACACATTTATACCTATATATCTGTATTAACATATATACTATAAAACTGATTTGTGTCGAGATCTCATTGTATGGTGTTTGACCCAGACTAAGGCTAAGATACCGGTTTGGGCTAGGAAGAAAGATAGCAACAATGTGAGTAAGGGATGTTGGCTTCAAGGTCGGCCACCACGTATCATAGCAATGCTCCCACTAGTACAAATATACTCGAAGGATAGATTTAGAAAAAAAATTTACGATATGCCCAGTCAGACGCTATGAAGAAATTGAAGTAGCATATTGTGTGCATAATTCTGCTCACATGCTGTGGACACTCACTTATGGTTTGTACATGAAACCACAGATGTTGTGGTGAGTTATTGATAGCAAATGTTCATTGTTTAGAAAATAATGTGATGTTTTACCTAGCCGCAGGTAAAAAAAAAAACACCACTCGTTTTCAATTAAGCAAAATTAATGTTTACACATGTCTTTTGTCTTGTAATTAACAAAGTTTGCGCTTACGTTATAAAACTTAATCGATATTGCACTTATATTACACATAATTGCTACATTTTGCACAATTCATAGATAACTTGTATTATTCGTAGTACATAGAACGTCGCATTTAGCTCGTATACGTTACATAAGGCAAGGAATTGTTCTATTAGAAAATGGAATATTTAATAATAGATACACATACGAAATTTAACACTACTAAATTTCTCAGATATAAAATACGTCCTAAGTTTTAAATATAATTTCTACTTTTCTATGACCTTCTAAATATAATTTCTACTAATTTTTGACATATATCGTAGAACATCACAATCGTACCGCGAAATTGTATTAATATACCCGTGTGTTAAATCTGTTTACATCAGCTGATAAAAACATTATTACATCTGCTGACACAAACACACGTGTTCTATCAGCTGATGTAAACATACAAGTGTTCCATTAGCTGACATAACCACACAAGTGTTCCATCAGCTGACATAACCACACAAGTGTTCCATCAGCTGACATAACCACACAAGTGTTCCATCAGCTGACATAACCACACAAGTGTTCCATTAGCTGACATAACCACACAAGTGTTCCATCAGCTGACATAACTACACAAGTGTTCCATCAGCTGACATAACCACACAAGTGTTCCATCAGCTGACATAACCACACAAGTGTTCCATCAGCTGACATAACCACAGTGTTCAGTCAGCTGACATAACCACACAAGTGTTCTATCAGCTGACATAACCATACAAGTGTTCCATCAGCTGACATAACCACACAAGTGTTCCATCAGCTGACATAACCACACAAGTGTTCCATCAGCTGACATAACCACACAATTGTTCCATCAGCTGACATAACTACACAAGTGTTCCATCAGCTGACATAACTACACAAGTGTTCCATCAGCTGACATAACTACACAAGTGTTCCATCAGCTGACATAACCACACAAGTGTTCCATTAGCTGACATAACCACACAAGTGTTCCATCAGCTGACATAACCACACAAGTGTTCCATTAGCTGACATAACCACACAAGTGTTCCATCAGCTGACATAACTACACAAGTGTTCCATCAGCTGACATAACCACACAAGTGTTCCATCAGCTGACATAACCACACAAGTGTTCCATCAGCTGACATAACCACAGTGTTCAGTCAGCTGACATAACCACACAAGTGTTCTATCAGCTGACATAACCACAGTGTTCAGTCAGCTGACATAAACACACAGTGGTCAGTCAGCTGACATAACCACAGTGGTCAGTCAGCTGACATAAACACACAGTGGTCAGTCAGCTGACATAACCACAGTGGTCAGTCAGCTGACATAACCACAGTGGTCAGTCAGCTGACATAAACACACAGTGGTCAGTCAGCTGACATAAACTCACAGTGGTCAACAAGCTGACATAAACACACAGTGGTCAGTTAGCTGACATAAACACACAGTGGTCAGTCAGCTGACATAAACACAGTGGTCAGTCAGCTGACATAAACACAGTGGTCAGTCAGCTGACATAAACACAGTGGTCAGTCAGCTGACATAAACACACAGTAGTCAGTCAGCTGACATAAACACACAGTAGTCAGTCAGCTGACAAACACACAGTGGTCAGTCAGCTGACATAAACACACAGTGGTCAGTCAGCTGACATAAACACTGGGACTAAGTGTACATATTGTTTACGGTTGCAGAAAGCGCGCGCATCTGTCACGTGTGTGGGAGCACATTATATACTAGTTTTAGTGCTGTCAGCCTAATGTAGCTGACCGCTACACCACAAGAAGTGTAATGGCTGCCTGTCTAAGGGGGGATAGGAGTAGGTCCATATGTCTCTCTTCCTTGTGATCCATGCGATGTGTGAGTACTGTTAAGCAATGTCTCATTTATAAGGCGCTACCAGGGTAGGTGAGGCTTTTGGGGGAAGCCTACCTTCTCTATTCTCCTGGATAATGTGTGTAATAATTTTGGGTGTTTGATGTGTCTCGGGGAATATGCAGGTATTGTATTTATCTTGCACAGGCCTTCAGTACATAGCTAGGCGCTCTTGTGGTAATACTGGTTTGAGTTTGAGTTTATATACGGCGGATTTGTGACAAAATGTTTGTGGGTTTCTATCCAAATTCTCGCTAATTTGTGAAAATTTTCTGGGTATATACCTAATTTTTAGGAATTTTTAGGCCTATGTAAATATCAGAAGCTCTGCAATCTTATTCTCTAGAGCTATTATCCTTGATTTATTGAATATTGCAGAAGCAAAGAAAGGAGTGGACCTTATTTGAAGCTTGTTTATATATAATCTACCGCTGGTTCGAAGCCTATAAAATATATAGTTGGCGGGCCAGTGTGGTCTTGACCGTTATACTTTAACTCTAGAACACAACAACTTGTCTCGTCTCTTTAAGATTTTGCTTAAAAGCCATTTATGTCAATTCAGAGGCCTAGTATCTCAATTAAGGAAACAACTCTTGTCTTATCTGCTGGGGCTCACATCTTAAAGAAGTAGGTCTACATTCTTATCTAAACAGTCCGAAGGGTTAGTTCTTATAGATGGTAATTATATATATCGTCTAGCAGGCATGTGTTTGTGGTCGGTGTATAGACATACTCTCATTCTTGATCCTGTATTGTTAACAAACACTCAGATACGTAGAAACCATTTTATACTCACACCAACATTACGAGTTATATTATTGTCTTCACTTGCACGAGAGATTTAGCACATGGTACACCGTGGCCACACTCCTATCTTGCGGCGGGCGTGGCTTTGGTTACACTCAAAGTCTTCCTGGGAATAAGCTTGGCGGCGGCGCAGACACCGAGCGCACACTCCTTCCTGCGCCGAGTCTAGGCGGCTTGTGACTACACTGAGAGTCTGCTGCTGCTGCTGGGCTGAGGGGAACATCCCTCTCCCCTTCTCTCCCCCCACACAAACCCCCTCCCCCCGGAACCTCACCAACGTGCCGGACCAAACCTCTTTCACAACGAGCTACGCCATCACCGAGAGAAAGTGGTTTAGATTCAGACCCGTCCGGCGATCTGATTGGTGAAAGTTCCAGCGGCTCCAGACCTGCCCAGTATGGGGGCGGGGAAGAGGAAGGTGGGCGCCGCCACCGCTATGGTTACCTGGGTATGTGAAAGTCGGCTAAAAAACTTTTGCTATAATTTTTTATTCTTTTCTAGATATAGCGAGTTATATTTAAGCCCTGACCTCCATGGAAAGAAAACGCGCCGCAGGAGGCGGAGAAGGGGGGCCATCGACCCTCGCTGAGAGGGAAAGTCATGGAGCACAGGAGCTAGGGCGGGGGTGGTCTTGTTTACATAATGACGCGAGAATTCGGGCGGACACACCCAAGGCTCCTCAAGGTTATCCGTGACACTGCCGCTGGAAACTTAGCTTTCGTAAAGACAATGCTCTTTTACTGAAAAGGTCGCCGAGTACGGCAGGGTGGAACCTTTGTGATGCAGGCGGGAGTTCTTGTAAAGCTGTTGACAATCTTTACCAGCTGGTGACGTTCACCTTGACTACACAACACATTATACTGGAGTTTTCTTAAGCTTTTCTTAAGTTTTACCCACGCCGCTCAGTTGCCGGATGCGTGTGCCAATTAGCTTGACCCGTCTGTCCTTGCTCGCGACCTGTGCTCCCCCATTGACGGACAAAACACTCAAGCTAACACAAACCTCCACAAGTCAATATTTACACCACACCCCAAACCGCCGTGTAAAAGAATACTCCCGTCAGCCTAATAACATTACAGGCTCACCATAGCCCGTGCTACACGGACATTTCGTTCTGAGTAGCTCAATCTTTAACAACAACAGCCTAATATACGGGCTCACCATAGCCCGTGCTACATGGACACTTCGTTCTGAGTAGCTCAATCTAAAACAACATCCTAATATCCAGCCGACGAGACAAAGGCTTCAAGACCGAGCAACGAGTGCTGTGGAATCTATGTAAATATCACTTGAGATTAATCTTCACTCCATTAAAATACTGTGTCTGTATTAAAGAAAGGATAAAGCCTCGAGGTGCCAATCTATACACCAGTATTATTAACATATATACTCTGAAATATACTGCAAATTAGTAAGAAGAAATAAGGAAGCGATTACTGAAACACCTATGAAGGTGTGTGTATATACTCACCTAGTTGTGCTTGCGGGGGTTGAGCTCTGGCTCTTTGGTCCCGCCTCTCAACTGTCAATCAACTAGTGTACAGATTCCTGAGCCTACTGGGCTCAATCATATCTACATTTAAAACTGTGTATGGAGTCAGCCTCCACCACATCTCTGCCTAAATCTAACGTCCCTGTGGCTCATTTCGCTACTAAGTTTCCATCTGTGTCCCCTTGTTCGCGTACTACCCGTGCTAAATAGTTTATATTTATCTACTCTGTCAATTCCTCTGAGAATGTTATAGGTAGTGATCATGCCTCCCCCTAACTCTTCTGCTTGCCAGTGTCGTGAGATTTAGTTCCAGTATTCTTTTGTTTGTTTGTGTGTGTGTAATTACCTAAGTGGAGTTACAGGATGAGAGCTACGCTCGTGGTGTCCCGTCTTCCCAGCACTCTTTGTCATATAACGCTTTGAAACTACTGACGGTCTTGGCCTCCACCACCTTCTCACCTAACTTGTTCCAACCGTCTACCACTCTGTTTGCGAAAGTGAATTTTCGTATATTTCTTCGGCATCTGTGTTTAGCTAGTTTAAACAGATGTGTGTGTGTGTGTGTGTGTAATTAACTAAGTGTAGTTACATGGTGAGAACTAACAACTTGTCCTACAAAGAACGTCGCATTTCGCTTGTATGCGTTACATACGGCCAAAAATTGTCGTACTAGAAAATGGAAGCGGCTGGCGAAAATGACGTACTCTCGTTTTCTGTTTTGGGTCCTCTGGTAGGTTAGAAGAGGGCACTTTACATTGACCATTTCCTTGACGTTGGGGAACCTTAGGAGGACGGGGGGTTGATGGTCCTAAAGTCCAACACAGAACCAAGAGTTCAGCTTGAGGACAAATTAAGGATCCTAGACCACATCCCTTGAGGATTGAACACGCTTTGTCTCCTATATCACTATAGTGTGGTATAAGGAGGCCTGGTTGGGGACCGGACCGCAGGGACGTTGAGCCCCGAAATCATCGCTAGGTATCCCATGACTCAGCGATGAGCTCACTAGCAGTTATAGAATACATTTACTCCCTCTCTCCTTTACTCCTGGGAGCCGGTCGGCCGAGCGGACAGCACGCGGGACTTGTGATCCTGGGTTCGATCCCAGGCGCCGGCAAAGAAACAATGGGCAGAGTTTCTTTCACCCTATGCCCCTGTTACCTAGCAGTAAAATAGGTACCTGGGTGTTAGTCAGTTATCACGGGCTGCTTCCTGGGGGTGGAGGCCTGGTCGAGGACCGGGCCGCCGGACACTAAAAGCCCCGAAATCATCTCAAGATAACCTCCCCTCATCCCCAGTATTTAATTCACAGTAATTTTCACCTTCCTGGCGTCCCCACTCCATCATCTATTATGACAATATCACAATTTTCATATTAACTTAAGGAAATTGTCAGAAATAGAAAGCAGATATCCGTTTGATTGAAGGTTATCATCAAGCATCAAGACGACCACCACCTTCTTCGCGGCGGCTCTCAATGATCTGTCTTTCATCTTGTTATTAGTTTTTCTCAAGAAACTTTCTCTTCCAGAATCCATCTCAAATACACCACTTACTCCTCATACGTCAAATATTTCGAAGCGCGCATTATCGAGCTAGCGGGTCAAGTTTCTACCTATTTGACGCTTCTTGCCTATTTTGTTTTCCTTATAGTTATAAGAATCAATACTTCCTGGAACCTACTGTAAGAAGTAGGGCTTCCTGGACCGGCGCCACTGTTGATAATGATCATTAATGTCACTGTTGCTCAGCGGGGTTACCATTTACGGAGGAGTGTTGGTGGTAACCGCAGCATCACTAGCCTCACACACACACACACACCATAAAGCAACAGCTGTAGCTTGTCACCAGTCTACACACCAATGTCACCAGTCTACACACCAATGTCACCAGTCTACACACCAATGTCACCAGTCTACACACCAATGTCACCATACCAATGTCACCAGTCTACACACCAATGTCACCAGTCTACACACCAATGTCACCAACCTCACACTGTAATATACTGCCTGCTGGGGTGTACGTGTTGAAATGTCACTAACTGTATTGTATAAGTTTATTATGTAAATACTGCTCAGTATAACTAATGCTATCGACTTTCCCTGCCCGCCAAGCATCTAAAACGCAAGAACTTTTGTAAGGTATTCTCATAACGGATATGACCCTCCTCGACCTCTTGAATATTTGGCTCAGTAGACACAGTCAAGGGTGTTGCTTGCCACCAGACAGTTTCGAAGCGTGTTACGTACATGACCACAGCCTAGCCTCTCAATACACACCTGCTACATAGCTTTCCCGGCTTGGTGCCTTCTTTTGATAATTAGTTACTCTCAATACACATCTCTACACTTCTCATCAACTTCAACAAACACTGCAGTGGCGACCTAAATTGAAGACAGCATTGTTAAAGAAGCAAGATCTCTGTTACTTCTCTCTCTTTCTAAGAGAAAGAGAAAAGACAATTGAGAATACAGAAGACGTAGGGAGAAAGTATATATTGCCAGTCGTCTTTGCACGACACAAGAGCCACGTCTTTAAGACTTTCCCTGTAATGATGTGTGTATTAGTGGATTACTGGCTCACTATAGAGCCTCGCGCAAGACCGACAATTAGAGGCATAGGCTATTGCTTGCCGGCCTGCTTTGATCTAGCAAGTATTACAGAACAGCTGGCTGCTGTAATCATTACAATGTTATTACAGCACTCTGCTGCGATATTTAATGGAACAACTAATACAGCAACTGTCTATGTTTGATATATATATACTTATACTAATTAGATCAAAGAAGCCTAACCTAACACTGTTGTACTCTACCATTACTTCCCTCGTCACTGTCCGCTAACCATGGCTCCAAGAGTTTCTTTCCTCATTAAGTCATTTACATATATTAGGAACAGTATGGGTCCTGGAAATGTCTTGTGGAACATGTTTGAACACTTCTCACACTTCCTGGCAGGTATTTTACCTGCCAGGTTTAATGTTTCCAGTCACTCCATCATTATTTTCCAAACTTATAGAATAGCCTCCGGTGGGACAAGACTGGTAATCTATGAAAACTATGTATACCAATCATTCTCGTTCCTAACTGATCGTGTGTGTGCGTTGTTGACAATTTTAATTTATAGTTCATATTCTATTTATAGGAATTTAAGTTACTTTATAGAGAGGTTAAGGGGGAAAAGGAATTTTCAGGGTAAAGAGCCAAGCCATCACGACTATATAGCACTGGGAAGGGGTCAGGATATGGATGTGGGATGGGACGGGGGGAAGAGAATGGTGCACAACCACTTTGGGACGGTCGGAGATTGAACTGCGACCTGCATGAAGCGAGACCGTCGCTCTACCGTCCAGTCCAAGTGGAGCTGGACTTGTATAAACTAAAATATCATTTATTCAATTACATTAATTAGGAGTGGAAACGGCAGGGGGTATGAGGAGTATAGATGAAGGCCAACCATGCCAGCCAACCGGCATGGTTGGCCGGACATACTGCCTGCTTGCCTGCCAGAACCAACTTTCACTTTCCTGGCTGACCGCTCTCAATCTTGCCGCTCTTAAACTAAATGTCAACACTATCCAGCGAGCAGTCATTGTTTAGTGTGTGGCCATATATGTACTGTTCTGCCTGTAAACGCCGCCAAGTCATTCCACTTTAACACACTTCAAGC